AAGCCTCCCCAGTCCGAAGCAGAGTCCCCGGGGCACCGTTGACCGATTTCCAGAACTCCCACAACTCCCTAGCCTCCTCCGCCGGAGTCAACAGTTTGCCATCCCTGGCACGCAACTGAGCTCGCTTTCGAGGCTGTTTGGGAGCCACTCTGCGAACCAGTTCGAAGAGCGCCTGGCTGCATCCTGATCTGACATGCGCATCCGCCTCCTGCAGCAGCTGGGCCAACCTGACACGTCGGAGTTTTCGGGAATGCTTCTGTACCTGCCTATGCATGCGGAGGAACTGAGCCCGATGTTGCCATGCCTGTATCGTCAACCGCATGCGTCCTGTGGTTGCTGTGGCCGCTTCTGAAAACAGCCTGCGCATGCTGTGATAGTGCGACCACATGTCCTTGATGCCTCCAACATGCTCAGCGCCGGTCCACGGCGGTGGAAGACTGTGAGGACGATGCACATGAAAGACACGCCGTCCCACCTCCAGTAGAAGCTTGTTAAACTCCTTGGGCTGGTACTCTGTCACTGCTTGAAGAGATTCTCGTACCTGACATTCGAACTCTGTGGCCAAGTGAGGATGATCCTTGATGGCCTGAGACAGTAGCTGACATTTCCACCTGGGCCATTCACACTTAGCGGTCTTCTGCTGAGCTCGAAACTTGCGCACTGAAATGTGGAGCCATCCGGGTAGATGCCGGCCCCCCGCTCTCCAGCGAGCAACCTGCCAGTCTCGGAGATGTCCAGCTTTGCAGAGCTGATGTTTGTGCTGTCTCACAAACAAGTAGTCAATGAAGGTTCGGCGCGCCGGCTTGAACCCCTCGTGGATGTAGGTGAAGCTATTCTTCCTGCCAAAGGTGTTTGCTGCTAGCAAGGAGAAATCGCGCACAATGTCCACTAGGTCGTCTGCATCCGCCTGAGTCTTTTTGGACGGCAGCATGCCCGTGCCTATGTGATGCTTCAGCGGTACAAGTGCACAATTGAAGTCACCTGCAGTAATGAGCGTGCTGCTTTGCGGTATGTGGCCTAGGGTACGCCGCAGTGTGGTCCATAATGAAGCTCGCTTCCGCAGCAACTCCGCCTGTTCAGTTTGCTTCTCAAAGCCCCCGATAGTATGCTGGTAAACATTCACCGTGTCAACCCATCCACCTGCGCACCACGCTCGGACATGTAGTAGACGCCCTTCCACATGATCATGAAATCTGATATACTCTTGAGGAAAAACCGATGCACGTAGTAGTGTCATAACGCCTGCATGAGCCCTCTTGGCGTCCGTGCCGATGCCAGAGCCGATGCAGTGATATCCACGAGTCTCGTAGTCTAGCTGTTGCCTGTGCCATGTTTCTTGCAGAAAGACAATGTCATAGGAGTTCTCTTCCAACCAGGTAAACAACTCGTCCTTTACGCTGCTGAGCCCTGCGCAATTCCAGGATAAGCACGAGAGCGAAAATTGCGAAGATGTGTTGGTGCTTCTCTCCACTCTGGTCCTGCTTGCGGGGCCGCTCCGCTGTGCGACGCCACTCTGATACTGTCCCAAAAGAGCCTGCAAGTCACAAGTCTGTCCTCGGTACTGCGTTTGGCCGTGCTTCTGTGCCCTGGACACTGCACGCTTAAAAGCCCGCTTTCTGCAAAAGGAAAAAGGTTTGCCGCAAGGTCGGCCTGATTCGCCTGCTTTCACGGGGCTTCTGAGGTCCTATCTGCATCCCCGCTCCCAGAGACTCGGTGTTGTCTCCAACCCTCGCTTCTGTCGAAAACATGCACGCTTAGGGCGTAGCGGAGCGGAGTCCTCAAAGTTTTATTCCCATGAGCATGTTTTTGACATGGTCAAAAACTTGATTTCGCATTTGCTTGATTTTAATTTGCATGTCTTTTTCATGAACCTTTCACT